TGTGTTTAATCCGATACCACTACCTAAAACACTATGTGCTAAAGTAGTCTCAGGTATTATATTGGAATGAAATTGTTTATTTCTAAAGCAGATGAATAAAATTGTATAGTTTTACACGTATGAATTTAGTAATGACTAGCATATCACTGTCGGACTCGAGACAAACAGTTTTTCAGTTTATATTTGGTATCAATTATACTAGTATATTGGTATTAGATTCTTGATATTATTTCTTTTTAATTGTGAATATTTGTTAGAGGTACTTATCTGACTAAAATCGATACAGTTTGGAACGGATTAACGATAGATAAACGGGGATGCTGTTCTACCTTACAAAAAGGCGGACACTTTAAAGTTTAAAAGGACTTAACATCAGTTTGATTTCGTTTAAAGGGTGTGTGGTTAACTAGTTTGACGCAGCTTAACCACATCTTAAACTAACTTGAATGAACGCAAGGGAATCTATTTGACTGGTAATAAAGTAATTTGATATTAACATTAGAAATCATTATCCAGTTCCAATAATCATAGTACTGTAACTGCATGAAGCAGGACACAAATGAATTGTTACCGCCCAATAACGGTGCATGAAAAATACAAGTCACTTTGTAAGTTAATTATTGTATCAACCTAGTTTATGAAAGGGGGTGCCATTTTATTTTAATTCTTTTTCATGACATTTTTACTGCGGAAAAGCAGATTGTTTTTTAACATTTGTTAATGAATTATTCAGAATAATTTTCTTTTGAATAGTAATACATTTGTTTAACAGAGAATCAGGATTAAATATAATTATCCCCGACCCCCCATTATCAAGTACGTGGCTGTTATTCTACGGAAAATAAGAATACATGTATTTAATAGAATAAAAGGTATACTTTAATGTAAAAAATTAAGAACTGGCACGATGAGAGCACGAAATCGTGATAAATTTACACGTTGCACGAAAAATGAATATATATACATGTAGGTCAAAGTATGATACAGTTACAATACAGTGTGAATCAATAAGATTTTCAAGATCCTACACACGAATGTGTTCAGTCCGGCTTGTTCTAAAGGTGTTGTGATATGTTTTGCATTAAATTCATCTCACATAATGTCCCTTTATTGTAGCGATAAATTAACAAAACTGTACATTATTTGTATCAATAGTTAAAATGTGCGTAAACGATGATTTTTGGTGTTTCAGTCTAATAAACAGAGGAAAAGATTGTTGCTGCTTTAAACATATCAAGGATGAAACTTTAAAAAGTAAACCCCAATTTGCAACAACAAACCATTGCTATCAAACGAATCAAATGTTTAAGTAAATTATAGTTTGCATTTTAATCAGGGAAAATAATGACCTTACACAGGTCATTACTTTATGCCTGGAAGCATATTTCATTGAAACATGGTATTATCCGGGTGGATTCTGTGAAAGAATGAACTATCGTTCTGAAAGAAAATAACTCCTTATAGGTATATAAAGACTTGTTATTTACATACACGCGTGTGGTCTATGTAGGTATGTTTCCCTATTTGGAAATCATACAATAGTTACTAATTTTACTCAAATAACGTTTTACAAACAGTGTATGTTTTGCAATATCATTTGTTTACACCTAAAAGACAGCCGATATTTTTTCTGTATTCTTTATAATAATTCATTTAATAATGCAGAACATTCCACAACGCGCAATGTCGCCAGGGATATTTGTGAATACCATTGTTCTCCATAACTTTAACAAACTTATACTTTTCCTCCTTAATATACGACATGAAACCGAAATGATTAGAAAGTTTTACTTACAAACACAAGTATCTATTACTTTGGTACTGACATGAGAATACGAATATTGTTATATTCAAATTTGCTGTTATTACATTTTTCTTAGAAAATTATGTTGATGTGAGCAGAATAAGTAAGTCTGTCAACGAATACACGTTAAAAGATAATTCAAATTCTTTTTGTATCATGATTTGTAGAATATTTTCATTATGACATTATCATGTCTTAAAATTATGAAGCAACTGTTCACATTACATTTGCAATACTATATGTTAATTTAATGCATAAAACAGCAATCAATGAATGCATATCAATCAATTAATGATCAAGGCTAAACAGACAAAGTTATCAAAGGCATCCTCTATTTGATTTATTTTGAAATGATGTGTTGGTTTAAACCATAAACCAAAGTAACATTTACATTAAAATGATTGAGTTTAAACACGTTTTTTTGCAAGAATTTGCATTTCTATTACAAACAATTGTGTATTGATGGGTAACTCTTTTAAAACTTGACGTTGAGAGTATTCACTAGTAATATAAAAATAAGGAGATGTGGTATGATTGCCGGTAGGAAAAGTATCCATTTAAGTTCAAATTAAGTGGATGTGAGTAATTATAGGCAACCGTACGGGCTTCAACAATGATAAAAACTCATACCGTATAGTCGGATATAAAAGGCCCCGACATGAAAAATATGAAACAGTTCAATTGAGAAAACTACAGCCTAATTTATAACAAAACAATTCACAAAAAACAAATATGACAGGCACGAATCAACGACAACTACTGAACTACAGGACCTGACTTAGGACAGGCACATAAAGAATGGGGCGAGGTTAAACTGTTTGTGAGCGCTCAACTCTCTCCCTAACATGGGAAAGTGGTGTTGCAGGACAAAATAAGAACAAACTATAAAAATCAGTTGAAAATGGCTTAACTAAAACCAGGTTCAATCCACCATTTTCTACATTTGAAAATGCCTGTACCAAGTCAGGAATATGACAGTTGTTGTCCATTCGTTTGATGTGTTTTGTCATTTGATTTTGCCATGTGATTAGGGACTTTCCGATTGAATTTTCCTCGGAATTTAGTATTTTTGTGATTTTACTTTTAACTCATCAGATCGATAGAAAACAGAAAAAAATCTAACGAAAACACAGACCGGATGAGGCAGGGTATATATATTATTTGAAAGTTCTGGTTTTATTTTGAATAAGTAGATATACTTGTTATTGTTATTTATTGCGCATATATGTTACCGGATTATTTAAAAAAATTGAAGACATTCAGGGGGTTTATGAAACTTTTTGAAATTGATATTTATTTGATTACAAAATTAGAACAATGACCGTATTATTAGTTTTTCTTTCAGTGAACAATAGGGGTTTTTATTGTAGAACATAATTTTTTTTGGTAATATGATGATTGATTTGTTTTAATGTTCAGTGGCAAACAACATTTAATTAAGTCTTTTAAACAAAGTTATAGTTGGAACAGTTTGCATTGACAGGCAAGTAATGGCATTTTGCTTGGTATACTTGATTACAGCTACATCTTTTCGACTCTTGAATACATTTTTCTCAACGACAATCATACTATATGATCTTATTTTGTGTATTCGTACAAAAGACAAAAGATATTAAATTACAACAGCGTAAAAATGTAGCTTTCACTGCTGTTCATATAATTTCTCCTTTGATATTATTGATTAAATTACTGAAATACGTGCAGAAAAAGAAATAGATCTATTAATTTCATAATTACCATCAGTTTTATGCTAACAAATTGTCAACGGAATTTGTCAAAAAGTACATTACTTATTAACAAACAATTGATTTCTAGTTTTAATCAAATCTTTTGTATTTTGTATCCAGTCTCCCGTAGAAATACTTTATACGCATTACATTAAGATTCTGTAAATAATCTGCAGTGCTCTTATCACGTTTTGATTTAAATTCAAGGTTACTTTCACTCATTTTGTTTCAAAAATATTTCAATGAAAGCTAGTCTATATAATCTAGTAGATATATCATGAAGTTCACAGTTAAGGTCCAATCAGTACCACCTACAGATTAGTAAGCACAAATCATAAAGAAAGACTACTGTGTGGATGCCCGTATCAGCATTAAAATCTTGATAGCAGTACAACATCATTGCCAATATAAATAATGTTAGAACCGAATAGGAAATATTCAAAGATCTTACTACTCTAATAAAATTGATGAATACAGCTATTTAAAGAACACATAGCGCTATGCTAACATGGATTTCATGTTAATTGTTGAGCCTTGAAAACAACATGACCATACACATCAGAATGAAATATATCGTTCCGAATAATATTTCAGACAAACACAAAACCATTCTTCGTAAGGGGGGAAAGCCGATTTTACGTGCGCACAGACTCTTTGTGTTTATCTTTAACATATGTCGTAAAAAGTAAAGCACACAATAAATAAAATATATTACCAGCTAGAGCATTCATTCAATACAGAATATATTTTTATTTACTTAAAGCCGTATGGTAAAGTGTAAAATGCATACTTTGGTGGATGTAATTACTATCCTACTTGCTTAGTGTAGATGAACTATTGATTATAGACTGTCTGCAGCTTCTCTTTTTGAAGGGCGTCTGTTTCAGGGTATGTTATGTATTATTACGTACATTTTAAGTCCCATCATTTAAACTGTGAAAATTCACACAAATACAGCCAATTGGGAACAATAAGTCAATGATTCCTACACTGAAAAACTATCATGAAAGGAGGTTCGATATAGTACGATACGAAATGTTCTTGGATTTGAAAATGAATGTACCATTTCAGGACTATGACAATCATTCGCTAAATTGTCATTCGAGGTTCAGTCGAACGTAGTTGTTTCCCAAAACATGCCAGTATATGTCATTATTTAAAAAAGATGTATTTATACGAGTACATTTGCTATTTCTCAATTAAAATCAATTATTCATACAGCCAAACCTGAAAGGCGTTTTCTTTTTAGACATACTTATGCACAATTCGGGAATGGTATATTTTGTCATGACCGTATCGTTCTATTTATTTCAGTCAATTGAATATGGAAAAACAATTTATGAAAGAGTTTTATAATGGTAAAACTATTGATATTGTAATGTTATATAATGAAATTGTACTCATTATAAAATAAAAGTTAAAAAAAAAAAAAAACGAAAAGTATAGTATTGTTTATAATATTTATTTTATTATAATTTCAGATTCTCGTATATTTCCTCATTATGGCAATTTAATTGAGTATTTGTATGACCACCAATCTCAATATTGTCATAAACACCACTGTGTGTGCCACTAGAACGTCCACTGCGTCCATAATCGTTAGGTTGGCTTGTAACTCGTGAATCACCAATACTTTTGTTTTTACTGAAACATGATCAATGACATATGTTCAAGAAAGACATTTTGTTTTAACTTAATGCCGCTAAAAAAACTCGATCAATCTTAGAATTTGATATTTTGAAGAAATAAGCCAAATAAATATAAAAGAAAATATCGCTTTAATAATTTCATGCGCCCGACACGTTTTTCCTGGATTTGCCTTCATCAGGAATGATATAACCAAACCATTTGAAAACCAGTGATGTATGAAAAACTGAATACGTAAGGACCAAATGACCAACATATGAAAAGAAAATGAAACGATTGTTCTATAGACACATCAAAATGACAAGTAAAACTGCATGAACTCTAAAGGAAGCGAGACCAAGTGCGTCAACAGGGTAAGCGTAATTATGTTTAACTAAACTGTACTAGATAATATTTCCTACATACTTTCTTTTATTGTCGTCTAATATAGATTAAATTGTATGTTTTTTTTTCAAATTATTCATTTAAGTCATGTTGAATATCCATGATGTATGTTTTCACAATTTTAGCTGCTGTATCCAAAATATTGTCACGTTTGTTATGGGTGGTCACACAATTTTGTTAATATAACAGAACTATAAACAGTAGTCATGCCAGTTGGTCGTTTGGCCATCTTCAAAACCTGGCTAAACCCACAATTTTGTTCGGGAAATGTCTGTATCAAGTCAGGAATCTGCCAGTAGATATCCACTCCTTCCGTTAGTTGATAGAGTCGAGCGTTCGGCTTAGTCAGTTTTTAAGGACTTTTTGATATTACAATTGTTATATATGTCCAGATGATTCATATACCACCAGTTTCCAAAACAAACTTGTTTTAGCTGATAATCATGATAATACGGCATGCGGTTTACTCATTGCCTAATAGCGTATAGGAACTATAGTTGCTTGCATCCACGTCATTTTAACTTTGTCTAATCGTGGATCATACCATATCTCCTTGTTACAAAAAAGAATAAATGATACACAATTTACGAAAATGATATATAATACATATAGGAGTAATCACATACGGTTTGGACGATACTCAAGTGTAACTGTAATATATAAAAACGTCGAATAATATGTTTTTATGCACAATGCAGTCACGAAAGAAAGATTACATTTTCTTCTTTGCTTCTTTGTTCCCGCTTTGCCAAACAATTAACTATTTATACTAAAACAAAACGAATTTTTGTATGTTATGTCAGAGCAAAGTATAAGATCTAATTGTAATGAGATCGTATGTCAAACGTCTGCCATTGCAATTGTACATGCATTTTACCCTTGAAAATTCTTAATGATATGCTAAAATGAAGGAACATAAATTGTAAATTGAAAATCTTGTGTTGATTTTTATTGACATCTTTGAATTTATGTATCGTAGGGTTTCTGTTGTCATAAACACAACATCTCAATTCATTGTTATGTCGGGAGATGATCACAATGATAACAAAATACTATTTCCAAAGATCACTTATACATCTGGTCAGGAGTTTCATTTCACAAATATATGTCATAAACCGATTTTTCAAGGGGATCTGTAGTGTGTTGTTTTAGCCAATGAACCTTTTTGAAAATTTTAAATCAATAGAATTATGTTTTAAGTAAGATAAAATATGTGTAAACAGTAAGTACAGTTAATACATCGAAAACTTACCCCGCATTTCTTTTTGATTTTGCTAAGAAATAAAGATAACATACAGCGTGAATTAAAATAAAGTAATAAGACATTATGAAATATCTATATACCAACGAAATACTTGTATACATCGCAACAAACACATATTTTGTTACTTTTGTATTGATCAATAATTATCATATTGCTTATATTTATTTTGTTTAATTGAATAAAATAAAATATAAAAAAAGAAAATACTGTAGCAATACTTCAATTACACTGCGTACCGTTATATTGTGACAATAGTGCACTCCTGGTTTTCCAAAGTTACCACTACCGCAATCGAGGTTCGCACAGAGAACTGTGTCAAAGTTCATCAACGCTTTTCAACCTTAACTATTAAGGAATGTTATGTCTCTACTAAGTTAAGGAAAGCACTGATTCATTTCAGGCGCATCAAGAGCTAATCGACCATTTCCACGATATCCGAAATAAAACCCTTGTTTAAAGAAATGATATTGATTTTTCAGGTTATAGAGCAAAATATAAGTATAGTTTGTCTTTCAAATTTACCAATGCATCAGCCAGGGTTCGAAATTTGAACATCTTGCACAATACATCCCGCTCTACCAAAAGCTAAAAAGTACTGCGAAAGTTTCTCTGTGGGGTAAAAAGAACTCAGTAGTTCAATTTTATTCAATCCATTCTTATTTTCATCCTTCACCATGATTAACAAAAAGAGTACAATAAGAAAATAAAAAAGCAGTATTAATTAAGGGGGTCTTATTCACCGCATATGATGATGCTGATAATAATAATAATAATAATAACAATAATAATAATAATAATAATAATAACAATAATAAGAATAATGATAATGGTAATAATAATAAAAAAATATTAATAATAATTATAATAATAATAATAATAGATATTATTTTCTTATAATTACTATTATATAAAGAAAGAGATAAAAACAAAGAATGTTTTCACAAGTAAAAAGTCAAATAAAGAAACACTTCATCTCGGCAGCCGAAGAACAGAAAAATAAAAACAAGAGTATACATTTTCTTACAGTCCAGTAATAACAGCCATGTTGCCTTTGTCAAATAAAAGTCCGATGAAAAGTTAAATCATATAAAGATATCAAAGGGGAAAAAGAGATAGTGAGTATAAAGTGTGCACACCACAAGTCATGAGTAGACACCAAATACTTTAACGGTCAATGGAATCATGATCATGTCAGTAAGACCATGGAATATATGACTTCATTAGCAGCAAATATAGTCTGTACTATATGTATCTGGCATGTATTGTCAAATTGGAGATTCATATTCCCTGCCTTTTGCAACTAAAAAATTGAAACTTAAAAAAGATATTTTCTGACCAACTTTGCACTTCTAGGAATGCCATTGGTTAAAAAGGAACACGTGGATACCCTATAGATTAGTAGGCCTACTTTATTTTAATACACGGTTAATAGGGGTCTTTTGTTTCGCTATAAAAACAACACCGCGTTGAGAAAAAATCTGAACCGTTTCGACCGGACAACAGATGATGAAATTGAAGAGGAATGATCGAAAATAAATGCAGAAAATACATTTAAAGCTAACAAGTTGTGATTGTTGGCATTTGTTTTTGTATAGTCCATGGAAGTAAATTATTGACCATGAAGACTTAATCACTTTGATAGGCCACTAGTTTAAATGCCACATGTAAAGATAGTCGGTAAGATAAATTCTTTGCACATTTTGAATTCACTGACCGTATACATATCGTATTAAGTTACTAGCACACTGTGTAAGTAATGTTACACTGTTTAAGAATTGAAAGTATCTCTTTTCTCGTTATCAATCGACTCCCTGCGGGGATAATATATGTGTCAAGGTGGAAAAGCTACTCTCTTTTTTGTGTGTAAATCCAGTTGTATAAACTGCCAATCTACAACGAAAATCTATCAAACATAGTAAGTAGATATATTTCACTATTTTTATGCCGTTAATCAATTTTAATATGTTAATTCCTTCGAAATAAAATAAGTAACATAAACTTACCAAATTGCCCTGGTTTAAATCTACGGAATGCAAAGAGACCTATGAAAATGATGATAGCTGTCACAACAATACAACCACCTGCAACACCTACCAGCAGCTCGACCGAGAACGGTTTTGATGATTCATCGTTTATCTTTCCTTGAATACCTATTAACACAAAAAGAAAAAGTATATGATACTGGTTGAATTATATATCATATACAGTTCCTTCCAAAAGTGTCCTAGTGACAACTATAAAACAGAAAGACGTAAAAGTAAGATTTCATAAAATGTCAAAGTAGATGTTGCATGTTTTTTTCCTATTTCGCATGGACTCAGTAGAAGCAACGTAATATTTTCATATTATGTTTTCTCATTAACATAGCGAAAAACGTATCATAGATACCAGGATTCAAATTGTGTACGCCAGACGTGCGTTTCGTCTACAAAAGACTCATCAGTGACGCTCGAATCAAAAGTGACTTTTCTTTTTTATTTTTGTAATAATTGACTTTTCTACTTGGTTGTTTCTCATTGAAGTTTTTCTACATGTCTTTGATTTGCATATGCTTTTAGTTTGCAATACCAGTGAGCATAGACCATCGATAACTAAAATGAATATCCAAAAGTTTCTTTACCAAGAAAAGCTTACGCAAAGGGATCAAAAGGCGTCTAAAGTTAACATTGTCTGATGAAGAATTAATATTTGTATTGATACATGATTTATAAATTGACATATTTGAAGACACTAAATTGTCCTATCACCATGATTGATACGAACCAAGTGTATAAGAATGATGCTCCCAAGCTCGTGATGTCATGGGGTTGTAAAAGAACTGATACACATATTTTATATCTTTTAGATAAAACAGCTTATAAATCATCTTTTCAATATACTTGTATTAAATAAATTACAAACAACCTACTGACAGATAGCATCAAACATGCGTTACGCATGATTCTAACTTTGAAAATTACTTGATTTTACCTGGACATATGTCCTTATTGCATATTTCAATATCAAAATTAAGTCCAATACATTCAGATCCATTGAACATTGGAGGGGGACTGTCACAATTACGGGATCTTTGTTTGAATCCATTTCCACAAGTTGTATTGCAGGACTCCCACTCCTGCCAACTTCCCCAATGTCCATGAACTGAAATAACAGAATGCTTCAATTCTAGTAAATGTTGATATGATATACTTGTGCATATTAAAATTACAGCGTTACTTTCAGTACATCAATTTTAATAATGCCGTAAGCCCAAAACTTATTGTGTGTCATTGTTTTGTATTCGCCTGATCAAGGAGCTGACCTAAAAGGCATTTTGTGATGAACATAATGTTTTCTATATACTTTTATAATAAACAAGGTATTCATGTTGCATCTTTTAGAACTTACACTATTATTGCTTTTTAAAATAAGTTTGTAAACTGATTAATGACGCAAACAGAGGGATGGGTTTGTGTGCATGTTGAAGGGATTTGCTGCCGCCTTCCCCCCTCCCCCCTCAAAGTAAAAAAAACAAATACATAATTTGGAAAATATCTCGCAAAATTAAGTTATCATGAAAGTGATAGTATGCAGCATTTGTACGTTTTATTCAGAGAAATATAACTAAAATTCTAAAATTATCTGTGTACGCTTTCATAGGTAATGTTTTGCCACATTTAAACATTTTTTTTAATGACACGTTGCACGTAGCTGACTTCATTTCATTAGTACTTTTATGCTTGATCTAAAAAAGAATTGTTTTGAGTATTTTAGATGGAAAACATATTTTGTTTCCAAGCATAGTTAGTATGAGCATGAGTTCGTTCATACGCTGAAGCAATGTTTATATAAGAAATTACTTTCACAATAAACGTTGTTACAAGGACGACTTTTTATCGGTGTTCCATTGCAATAAAGGCCTCCATTGGATGGTTGGGGTGCTTTACATTTTCGAGTCCTATCCTGAATTCCACCGTTACATGTTGCACTACAGCTATTCCAGGCAGACCATCCACTCCAGTCGCCATCGACTTAAATAACAGAAAATAATATTGTTTTACAGCAATGACGATAGACGAATATTGTATTTAAACAAATAATATGTATTTAACGAACATGATAAAAGCTTATATAAAATATTTGAATTCTACCATATCGTTTTTAGAATTACTCCCACTCTCTATATATTGGTCAATTTTAAAATTCTCATTGACCTTTATGATTTAAAGATAAACTAAAAATATGCATCCTACAGTATAAGAGAGACGTAGGATACCAAAGGGACATCTCAAACTCACAAGTCGAAAACAAGCTGATAATGCCATGGCAAAGAACGAAAACCGACCAAAGACAAAACAGTATACAAAACACAACATTGAAAACTCAAGAATAGCAACACAAACCCCACTGAAAACCAAGGATGATATCATGTTACCGGAACGGTAAGCAGATCTGGATCCACATGTGAGATCCATCTTGGATCTCCTATAATCTGAATACAATGTGTGGTGTCACTTAATCCCGTTGATTGAAACCCTTTCATTCAGGACATTCAACTAAAAACACCCTGTGATAAAGAACGCAGAAAATGAAAAAATAAATATAACATGTATAAGTCATTCCTCTTTATTTAGATACATCTGTTTCAATAAAAGCACACTGGCTTTGTTACATTAGTTTAGGATATAAAACATACATTTGATACTTAACCATTGTTAACATGAAAACTTCTCATTTCTGCAAGTAAAATGTAAATGTATGTCATATATAAATTGTAAACTAACTTATATATAGTTTAGTTGGTTTTTTTTTTTTGCGTTATTGCATTTCAAATTAACTATTGGTTTTCTCTCGATGGTCCATACTTGTTGACGTTTTAATACAAGAGAAGATCCAGATAAGACATCTTCATAACGATTTTGTGACAGGTATTTTTTCTATACTTGATTTACAAGAAAAACAAATTCTCGCGGAAGTTTCTTTAGAACAAAAAACCTAAATCATCTAAATGTGCCCTTACTAGACTGTAGTACAATTAAATAACTTATAATTATTTTTATAAATTAGAATATGAAAATAAAGGAATTGATATTTTTTAGTACATAAATCTTTGGAAAGACCTTTCAAATTCGTCGACAATGTTTGACACTCTACGAACTTCCACATAACTTTATCCAATTACGTGTTGTTATTTAATTAAATGGTCCTTTCAATAATCTGATTATGACTTGGCTGAAACTCATATAAAGCTTTCCTCTGTAATTAAAAAAGATAAATATACTAGATATACTAAGGAATTGTAATGATATGATAACAGATCTACATTTCTTTTTGACAACTTACTTTTACATTTTAGCGATAAATATTATCTGTAGTTTTTAGACAGCCATACAGGCACCAATTATTCCTCTTTAGTTGCAACTTAGGGCTGAGTTGATAAAAAGAATCACAGTTTTTAGCCAAACTCTGGTAAAATCTGTTGTAATTTCATTTTCGTGGTCAATCTTACATAACTTGTCATTACTTGGAGGACATATTTGCCTTTCATAAACAAGATAATTATAAATGATTTTTATTCTGATTTCCACAAATTACTTCAAAGGTTTACTAAATTCATAGAAAGAAAATTTGTATTCGAAAGTGTGGCTGTACCTATAGAAATTTTATTACAAACGAGAAATCATATCTTAACTATTATGTTGATGTTGTTTATAGACCCGTAATTTAGATATAATCCATGCAAACTTACTAATCCTTTGTATAATGTTATTATTCAATAAACACTGCGGTAAGACATTTGAACATTGTCTTTATCGGTTAAAACATTGATTTTGTAATATATGGAATAAAACATAGTTTTAACTTAATGTGTATTGATATACAGTTATGAACAATTAGTGTCCTACATCTTGCCGATACTTATATTTGAACATGCTCAGGGTTAGAATGGTATTCACAGACGGTTTATAACGTCTTTAGCATACACTTTGTTGGATTTGTAATGATTTATATTTTAATTCGGGACAATCTGATTAATTTATAAGTTGTAAGTGTCTTTGAGCTAGCTTTCAGTATAAGCACTTTTAAGTGTTTTGTGCCGAATTGAAGAAGCAAAGCCTTTCCGACTGATTTGTACAATTCGTTTTTATGTTGTGCTGTTGTCCCATAATTAGGGTAAGGTTTAGTGCTCACACATATGTTTTACCCAGCAACTTGATGTAAATAAACGCATCATAAATACAAAGATTACAATTCGTATATGCCAGACACGCGTTTCGTTTACCAAAGACTCGTCATTGACGCTCGAATAAAAAAAAAGTCAAAAAGGGCAAATAAAGTTCGAAGTTGAAGAGCATTTTTTCGAAAAGTTTTGCCAAATACAGCTAAGGTAATCTATTCCTGAGGTACAAAATCCTTAGTATTTCACAGTAATTAAACAGTTAACAGTTGACCATATCAATAATAACACATTTCAAAACAGAAGTGTTGACTACTAGCCTGGTGATACACTAGGGGAGGAAACCTCCACTAGCAGTGGCATCAACCCAGTGGTTGTAAATAAACTCATCATAGATACCAGGAATAAAATTTTGTACAGCAATCACGTGTATATATGTGGATGTATCAAATTAGGAACCTGTGGTTCAGATGTTGTTATTGGTTGATGCCTGTGTATTTTTTGATTTTTTGTTTATTGTTTTATCACATATTTGCAGTTTGTCTTCTTGGTTGAAATATACTGGCATGTTTAAAAGTCGACTAAGCCAAACGCTGACAAATAGTTGTTTACATTCGTCTCATTTTGTATGATTTGAATAGTTGTCTCATAGGCAATCATACGTCATCTCCTTAAGTTAATTTTACATTTTCGAAGATATTATATGGTTATATAAATGAAGTTCAATATGTTATGTTTCTTTTTTCAAATTTGTTTTTTATGTATGTATAACGGAATGACATGAAGGGTAATAAAAGGTCATTGAAACGCAGCAAACACAATGGCAAAACTAGAAATAAAAAACAAGCAAAATTACAATCAAAACAATAGTATTTAGCTGTTGTAGTCTTAATTGAACGGATGTTTCGCATGAACATCTACAAACAGTGAAATCCGCACAGCGTATAGGGGTTGTATGTAATGAATTAAAATTTCACATCCCTTCTTTACATCACAATTTCATAAGGCAAGGTCAGTTGATAACCTTCTTCTACATTTTAGTACCAATTATACGTAATACGTTAGTCATATATACCGGGGCAACTCAATACATTGCACGTCTGTGTCTGAATATTTGTTCCGTTGCAATCACTGCCTCCTGCAGACGGAATTGGACTGTTGCATCGTCTCCTTCTTGATTGATTTCCATTGCCACATGAAAAGCTACACATACCCCAAGCAGTCCATTGACCCCAGTTTCCACTTACTAAAGTACAAATGCAAGTTTAACAGCAAAAAAGCTTGTTTTAAGCATACATTAAAATGTATAGCATATACACATTTTTCGCGAATAACCTTCATCTTGTACACTCGAGATGAAAGGTAAACGGGCATTATTGGTAGACTGGGATTTATATTTATAATCAACTGGACTTCCATAAAAAACAATGCTAAAGCGTGGCGTCCGTTTCTTTATTCATCCAAGCTTCGCATAATATTCCTATTTATTTTATCGATAATTCGTTTCGGTTTCAGACAAAATTGAAACTGGTCACAAAATAATTTCAACGTGAAAAGACAGCTCATGACAATGATGTGCATGTAGATAATTCGAGTGCTTTAACTTATGTTTAATTTTAAAATGTCATTTTGTATGATATGCTGATATGATTAGTACATGTCAATTCAGAAGACACAATGCAGAAAAGTTCGAGACACGATGGACCAGTTTGTAGTTTCTACCCCGCAGTTCCGATGGAATGTGTCGCCTCTGTTCTACAATGTGTCGTCTTACAAACATTGTATAAAATAAAATTGAGAATGGAAATGGGGAATATGTCAAAGAGACAACAACCCGACCAAAGAGCAGACAACAGCCGAAGGCCACCAATGGGTCTTCAACGCAGCGCGAAAATCCCGCACCCGGAGGTGGTCCTCAGCTGGCCTCCTAAATAAAATTGTGTACTATACATTTTTAACGTGTGGAATAGCTACCTTTGATTTCTATTGGTTAGCTAGTACCTGACCAATTTGAATTTACCTTATGGTTTTGGCCTGTTATCCATTACTTGCACGAAGAGATATTTCTCCTGCAATCTAAACGGAGTGATATATGAAAAAGTGATACTTAATATTTGTTAATTTGATAGACAGGAAACGGTATTGTGACATTTCCATTGGGTATTTCTACGGTCATTGATGACTTTCAAATGTCAGAACGTTGTATATTTTCTCCCTGGCAACTAATATATGTCATTTCTTCAAAAATATACACTTTTCACATGAAAATCATGTTTTTATTTGAATTAATTACATCCTAAAGCGTTAATTTTATTTTCAATTGTCTGATGTTTGACGCCGGAATAAGACATATGACATCACATTGGTTTGTGAAGTCTAGATCACCGAAATGCAGACATTTCTGCTTAGCACAAATACAATGTTTACCATTTGAGAAATAGATTTAAAAACTCGTGTGAAATGAATGTCTTTTGATATCATCTCTCCTTATCTAATTTAAATAGAAATAACACACTCACCATAGGTTTGTTTATTATTAAATTTGAATTAAGTAACTATACTTGATATCAATCGATATCAATTCTCACTCGTTATGAAACCTATAAATATCAACTCACCGATCCTAATGATTTCCTTACTTTTCAAAAGCATATTTGTTACCATACAGATTTTGGCCAAGTTGAAATAATGAGACGGACCATGAAGCATTATAAAAGCTTTCGACCAGTTTAATTTGGTTTGTTATGTATAATCAGGTCAATATCAAACAAAATGACTAATGATATTTACCGACGTATTTTCCAAAACATTTGATACCAATATCCTGAAAATGACTACAGTCATGACTACCCCAACTTCTCCGACTGCAAGCTTCCAAGCGTGTTTTATATGAAGTGCACCTGACGTCATCCATCCATATTTTAGTATTTGATGAAGCGCCAACAGGTTTATATATCTCTATAGCATCCGTACTACAATACATGTGTGTATTTACTGTAAAATGATTAACCACAATAATGATATATATGAACGAACAGAATCAGTAGAAGAATGTCATAATCATAAAAGATTAAAACAGATTTGAATTATGTAAAATAATTTCTCATTAATGACATAGTCATCGACTCTTAACACGTAAACATTTTAATAGCAATTCTTTGAAATCATCAACCAAGCTGCGGCACGCAGTCTCAGATTATCTTATATTTTGTGTGTTGGTTGCTATCGACAAACATATAAGAAATATGTTGTCAAATATTTGCTTATGTCCCCGTTGTTATGGTTACGGATCCCCTTTTCGCTATAACTTCTATATTTTGACCTAGAAAAATAACAATTGTCAAGCAGTTGGCATGTACCCATTTCAATTTTGATGAATATGGTTTCATTTGTTCATTAAAATAAAACATTTAATAAGTTAGATAAAAGATAAACAATAATTTTAATAAAAGGGAGATAAGGTTGCAACACTATTGAAATAAGAGAATTTTCATTGTATTAAAGAAGGTACATTATAAACATTTTGCATGAACTAATTACACACTTTTGTATCCACACCAATTTACATTGAAGTAATAAATGTAAACTATCACTGTTGCGTAGTAACAATTTGTAACTAAAAATTTGGGATTCAGATCGCAAGGGTGGTTGCTTAGGAAACCTAAAAGTGATTTGTTTGTTGTTTAATAAAAGCATTTTGGATTTGTTATTAAAATATCTCACAAACTAAAAAAGATAAAGGATAAAAATTGATTGAAAAATGTTGTGCATACAATGCATTTTAGTTTTACTCAAAATTCAAAAGTTATTTATGACCTTGACCTTTGCCCTTGAGTGGTTTGTTAGATTTTGTCAGGAATGGTAACAAATAGAACAATACATTGAATTCACAAAACGTTCAGAACGACTACTGTTTTTTTATAACATGGTTAAATGGCAGAGGTCAAGGTAATGTCAATTGTTTTTAGCAACGACCCTTACTTGATATAAAAGTACCAAGCAGCCATACATATGTTGGTTCAGACTAATATGAATTGTTATATAGATCCTTATTGAAAGGTGAGGGATCAATATAGTTACCAAACACTTTAGTAGTCATTCTCATATACAACTGATATAGATGGAAAATGTCTAGCAACCATCAATGTTTTGATCCCCTGTGACAAAATTTCGAAATTTGGAAACTAAACATGTAATTCTTTCTTTCAAACAGAATTTCAATTTCCTTATAAGAAGAGAAATAATTAACCGACATTATTTTACTCATGTGTACTTTGTATTTTAGTTAATCACCAGCCACGTTGTCTCTTGTTCTGACTCAAAACACCACAGATATGTTTGTCGGTGTATTTGGTATTCATTAAACTTTAAATCAAACGAAATTATGTGGATTCTTTTTTTTTTTTTTTTTTTTTCGAGGATAATAATTTTCGTGGATTGAGCAACTCTTGCATTTTCGTGGATATTTATTTTCGTGGTTTTGCTATTGTTCGAGGTTCATCTGTATCCCAAAAATCCATGTTAGTTGGTATTAAACAAATAATAATAACAAGGGGATAAATGGTCAGTATTGTCACAGTAGTCTTAAGTAGCAATTCTCATATCGTGGAAAATGCCTAGAAACCATCGATTTTTGTAATGCTGATGACAAAATGTAATACAAATCTTTCTTATCATGATTCAAAGATCTTTCCTTTAATACGGCCTGCTTTTAAAAGCTTTATGGGCTTAAAAAAAACACTGAGCGTTCGTCATTGTCCTAATGTTGTACATAGTTTGTCTAAAATATTTCCCTTTTAAACTGCATGATCAAATGTTATTAAACTTAATAGTAATAATGCATTGCATATATTTTTTACACAGCTCATATTATGTTGCCACCTGATACAAATTATAACTGGTACAGGTAAAAATAGAACACTAAATTAAAATGACAGTTCTTGATTCAATTTACCGGTGTCATATGGTTGATAGGTGTTGATCTATCTTAAAAGTTTCAAAACAGAAATCAAATGTCAGCTTTTAGCAAATTTTGCAGTTATTTTACTTAAAAATTATTTAGATAGAAAGTCATCAAAAAGAGTTAAAATGGCATTAAAAGCTGATTTAAGCCCAATTTTGTTTTGTTAATCTGGCTACAGGGCAAATTGTGCTTTTCTCATCTCTTTCTATTCGACATCTTCGTCTGTAAACTTTTGCCAGAGTCTTGTCATTAGACGTGTTACGAAATTGTATATACTCGACGCTGAGGTGACAAGTTAGACTTTAAATGTGGGTATCGTATCAAAACACAAAAGGGTTTACAGATTTAAATTACCTATGTATCAATTGAATATTCTGTTTAAACTGTATAGTACTGATATCCACGTATATTTGTTTCTTGTAACAGACGACCCTTGAAAACTTTATTATAGACAATTTCATTACAAATATTCCTTATTGAAGAAATATTCCATAACAATTATTCTGTGAGGAAAAAAAATGATAAAAGATAAATCCCATAATATTTCTTCTTTTTGGAACACTGACAGGAGGCAAGGGTATTGCAGAAGAGATATGAAATCTAGAAGAAACGAGAGAAGGAAAGCCGAGAAAAGGAGTCATGGATGAGAGAAACAAATCCCCGCTCACCCTTATAAATTAAAGCAATATGTACTTGTTATTTTGAGTTTACCTGAGCTCAGAACTTCTTTTCCTAACTTGGGAGCTTTTCCATTTTGCACAAGGTATGTAGATACATGTGGAACTCCTTTTATGGATTTATTTTGGAAATAGTTTGCCGTTTTTTTTTTTTTTCGAAGGTTAAAATTTCGTGACACACGTTCACTTTTCCCGTCCTATAATCACAAGCTATGATATCAGAAAATGATAACTGTAATTCAAAATCAATATAATATTAAATGAACCAAGAAATGTTTAGATACCTGGTTTACAGTACGCAAATTGAATTTTACATGTTTTAATCGATTTTTTTTGGATCAATTAAACAGAAACAATCAAATATCTGTCATCAACTCCAAATTTATATTTCATAAAAAATCGTCTTGAACATGTATGAAATAGTTGCCACTGGACATTGAGCAATTATCAATCAATCATTTTCATAAAATAACTTGTTTTGAAGCTCAAAGTTAATATACATATATACAATAAGTACGTCTAAACAAGTGACAACTATACGACAGATCCATCGATTGGATCACCAGTGGAGGTGATACATGGCTGAAAACACACATTATATTCATATTTACTCTTAATATCAGCACAACAATGTTAAATCTGCAAATTTGCGGAAGCAAACTTTTGTTCTTCCCTCGCCGGGATTCTAACTCATGCTATTGGGATATCGAGACAACACCGCCTGCACTGTGTTCAGCGCTCTAGACCACTCGGCCACCTAGATTGAACTTAAAATTCAGCTTTCCGTGGCCTAGTGTTACCTTTCAGTAGAATCTAGAGTTGTAACACAGTACATGATAGATATATTAAGCATGAAGATGAAATTGATTACAAATGATCTAAATTATCTATCGTTAAGAATCGTAGGATGCAGTCACATAGATAATCATATGATAAGTACGTTTAAACAAGTGACATCTCTACGACATATACGTGAAGTTGTGATACTGTGATCCTTTTTTATATAAGAGTAAACGATTTATTTTTCTTCAAAAATTGATTATATTTCTATGGCTTATGTTTGAAAAGGAAATCCTTATTAAGAATATCTAACTCAAGTTGACAATGTTCGCTCGTCATGTCTTTCTATTAAATGAATTCAGTTAAGAAATGAGTGTTTAAAAGTCCTGAAAGTGTAGCATCCACGTTCCGACTATAGATAATGCAACCAACCATTGCCATAAAAAATGTATGCAAATTTTCATTAGGTGTACATACACGCTATTATGATATAATTTTATATAATCTGAACAAAAATCATATGTCTGAAAGGAGAAGGTCCGGTAAGGGCTAGTTTTAGCCTAAAATTCGAAGTACATCTGATGAAAAAAATTGACATTTTTCAAACACTAAAGTGTCTACTTCATTCGACTCAATTAGTTTATGCACAAGATTTGATCTGATTTGGTCATTAAAGACGCTCAAACTTAAGCTTCAATCTGAAAAATCTATTAAATATGCCATAAAACGTCACTTTTCAGATGGTTTTTGTTTGCAATGTAAGTGGCCGCATGCGTGTTCAATCCCAACTTTTATATATGTTCTGTATAATCAACAAATACAAAATGTATTTAAATATTAAGACTGAACACAAGTGCGGCCACTTCCATTTTAGACAAAATCGTCTAAAAATTAGCACAAATGCTAAAATTGTGAAGATTTCAGTAATTTTACATGAATTACTGATGCTTGTACTTGATTTATATGCAATGTATTGGCATTAACAGCCCATGTTTATGAAACTAAAGTATTCTACTTTCCAATAACTAGCTAAAAGTTTACATTTTAAATAACTTGTAAAAATGCTATATTTTGGGGCCAAAAAGGGGTCTTACCGGACCATTTCCTTTGTGTGTATTTCTTGCAATGTTCATTTTTTAAAGTAACAAGATAGAACGTATCAAAACTGGCTATTTTACGCCTCCCCTTTTTTTAGATTCCTTAAAAGTACATTTGATAATTGAAATAGACGAGGGTTTGGATTGGGTGTCTTTCATTTCTGTATTTTCAAATTTTATAGGGCATTTTTTTCTATTCTTTATACTGTTTGCCTTTTATTCTCTATTATCTATTTATAAGCACCTCATTGATCTCTATTATTTAATTTTTGGTCTTTTTTTCTGTATTCTTCATATTTTTTGTCCATTATTCTCTATTCTGTAAACCCCTATCAACACCCTCATAGACTGGTAATCTGTCGAAATCAGAATAAAATGTGCACGCATAAACAGCTTGTACATCTGCATGATTCTTTTTTAAATCAAAATGTAGAAACTAAATTTACACAGGTAACTTTCAGTTGAATGTAACATGTATTTTAAATCCAAGGTGGAGATCCTTGATTGGATTGGCAATTTCCAAAAATTTGTAACAGCAAAGTTTATTAATACAAAATCCGTATTTTCATGCCTGTACCGAAGTACAGGCTACTGGGCTGGTGATACCCTCAGGGACTGTCAGTCCACCAGCAGAGGCATCGACTTTCATAACACAAAATCTGTTTTACCAGCAGAGGCAGAGGCAAATGATCAAATGAGGACCCCTCACAAGTGGTCCTGCAAAGGTTTTTTTTGTGTCCAAGCACTGACACCGGCCGGTATATCAGGTTTAACGTCTCAGACCTATAGGTAAAAAATCAAGCGTATCATGTTAAGGAACTCTCTTTTACATACACAAATAAAACTGTATTTAATGTCATAAATCAAAAGATAGACTTGTACAGGGTTTTAACATAAGCGAACTTGCCCTTCATGGATGCATATAATTATATACATCTGGTCAGTGATTTTGATAGAGGTAAACCATGTTTCAAAAACAGAAACTAAACTTATCACCGTCTCAGACAAGGATATCAGGCCTTAATTGTTTCTGTTTAACGTATTAACATTTTATAGACTTTGGACGATTTAGAGCTTGATTTGCTTGTTATTTTATAGACTTTCGTTAGATACTACATGCTGCCCATAAGATGACTTTTGGTTGTTTTGAGTCGTTCGGTTTGTGTCATACTGACGTTTAGCCCACAGAAATGCCGGACTAGCTTATACCGATATATTATTAATCCTGTAAATAGCACACAGACAATTTTACAGTCTTTTGAAAAGTTTTGAATTGTCACATAAATCCGCGACAGGTCGATTTAATTCGTACTGACGCGAAGGGGAGGTTTGACCAGGATTACAGGCTATTTGAACTTCTATGACTTACTTAGACTAGAAGGGTGGCATTAGTGTGCATCCTTTTATTACAGAGGCCTAAAAAGTACTATTAATCATGTTAATTAAATAATTTTTAATGCATCGTAAACTTGTGACATAAATGTAGTTATCGGTAAATTTACAAATTCAATAATAATCACGAAATAATCGCGTATTTTTTAAAGTTGTAAAATCAAATTTGAATTGGACAGTGTAGCACGTGTCTTGAGGTGTAACGACACATTTAGGTTAATTGTAGTTATTTAACCAGAAAAAATGAGATATTTTATGAAAAGTGTCAAAATCAATATCATATATTAGTAAAAATATATCGTCGGTAAAACGTTCATGGACCGGTAAAGTCGATTACATACAATAAACTCCCGAGAGAATGCCCTGAAGGTGACAGCTTTCAGTTTGAAAACGGAAATTGTATTCACCAAAAAAGCAAATCAAAAGGTCTATGCATATATCGTATGATTGTCTATCCCAATTAACACTAAAACATTTTGTTAATGTTTTAAAAACATTTTGAAAAATGCTGTAAAAATATTGCAGAAAAATATCAAAATCACGTAAAAATGTATGGCGCAAAAAATATTTTCTGAACATTTTCCATGACATGTCCATGATATTTTTTAATTATCATTGACACGTTACTGAATTTTGTCGACAATGTTTGTAAAATGTTTTATAAATGTTTTAAATATGTTTGTTTATAAAATATTCTTGAAACATTTTTCAAACATAAAAAAAAATATTTTTGCAGGATAAAATGTTGTGAAAATGTTCAAAAACAGTTAGCAAAATGTTTTAATAATGTTCATATTCTCAAAACATTATTTGAATATTATATGAATATCATTATAAAAATGTTTTCTACTCTCATCTTTCAAATGTTTTATATATTATTCAGAAAACACTTTTATCATGTTTTCAAACAGACGCAGATTATTTTTTTTTTTGGGGGGGGGGGGGGGGGGGGCGTCCTGGGTCCCCCTTATGGATCTACATTTATGATTAATCTAATCCCACCTATTCCATTCCAACTTTTCTAGTTTGGAGCTGTGACTCCCTTTTCAAAACCCTGGATCTGCATCTGAAAAACAACTGCTGTCATACTGATCTTTACCCCACATCTCCTTTTTACAATTGTCTGTTGTTGAAAAAAACTACTGCTATCATACTGGTTTTTACCCCACATATCTTTTTACAATTGTCTGTTGTTGATAAAAGTGGAATCTACATATATTTTGGTTATTTTTGTTGGATTAATGTCTCATTGACATAACCTCACTATTTCCTGTTTTAGATATCATTTTTATTCACAGATCTGATTTTTATTTAATAGTCTATTTTTTTATTTTGAATTATTGCCTTGAACACGTTACAATTTGTCATGGTTTCACTGACAGAGAAGTATTCCTTTTATCAGATTATAAATATCTTTGTGTATTTCATTTGGTCTTCACATTGAACAAAACAAATTTGAGAAGTATTTCATAATCTCTTATTTAATCACGTGTAGCATCTGACTTTTTTTTTCTGAACAGCTTTTTGACTGTTTTCTTTGCTGCCTTAGTCAACACTATACAAGATAGCAACACTAAGAAATGAAAAAAAAATATTATATATTGTCATATCATTGTTCTTTTTCAGTTTTCCTTTCGTTCCATTCTTTTTATTTCGTTTGATATCTGCTGTCTTCTGTAAAAAAATGTAAACAAATTAGTCCTTCTGTTTAGTGATTAAACAAGTGGAGATTTATTTGTCTAATTTCATCAAATTACTTAAACTTTTTATCTTCAATTTAATCCAGTGGTTTCACAAAAATATATCGAAAAGTGTCATCTAATCAGTGCTACTGGATTCAGAAGTCTCTTAATGGTTATTCTATAACTTAACGCAAATATATGTAATATAGATTGAGGATATTAAAGAATAAATACCTTCACAAAATTTGCTCCTCCAGGAAGGTTTGAATCATTTCTAAGCTTATTTACTTCTTCATATCTTGAATCTATCCTTAATTGTGGCACTTCTAATTGATCCTACAAAAAAAAAAAAAAAAAAAAATAAATTAAATTCAGGTTAAAAAAACTCACAATGTATTAGTCAGCGACCAAGGCCACAACATTCAAAAATGAAAGACAATTCAAACAAGAAAGCTAATGGCTTCACATACACTTTACATTTCTAAAGATCCATGACAGTGATGTCAAGGTCATATCAATCCTGTTAGAAAGAATGTGCACCTTACAATTATTCCATACACCAAATACAGTTGACCTATTGCTTATGGTAATTGAAAAACATGCCAAAACCCTAAAACTTTAAATTGACCCACGAAACATGAATATAAAGACAATCATATGATACCTGCAAGACACACATGCACACCTTAGAAGTATCCAAACAACAAATATAGCTGACCTATTGCTATAAGTATTTCTTAAAAAAAGACCAAATACAAAAACTATAAACATCTACTCCATTCATGTTATTTGGTCTCTGGTTGACAGCTATAGTTCTCACTGGCAAACATACCACATCGTGTTTTATATTATTCCAAGACTACAATATTATCAATTGAATATTTAAAGTTGTCTTACTTTTATGATTATTTTATTTGCAATGCACATATTGTAAACTATCTATTTTAGTTTCATACATATAGAAAAAGTAAATAAGAAATAATGAAAACATATGAAATTATTAATCAACAGCTAACACTGCACTCATATGTGTATACATATTTCATTTTTTTATAGCTTTCTCCTTTCAAAAAAATAGTTTTCTGTTAGGAGAAAATAAAATAAAAGAAAAGAAAAATGTGTCTGAGGACAGAAATACCCCCGCTCAAGTTTTGCAATTTTCTAAGTTAAAAAAGGTCATAACTATAGAACGGCAAATGATTCACTCCAAAACTGTTTGTGTGTTGTGGTTCTTAGCAATATATATGAGTTTCATTACATTTGGATGAGGAAATCTTAAGTTAGAGTGCGGAAACGAAAATGGGACGGACGGTTAGAAGAAAGAAAGGTCAAAGCTAACACTTAATGCCCTTATTGCCTATGGCGGGGGCATATAAATAAATATGACACCAACATAGTCTTTAGTACATGTAGTATGTTTTAAATCTGTATCTATTCAAAGTTGCCTTAATTCTAAAAGATTTTGCCTTTTTTTACATTCAGTTTTTTCTTCCGTGCATACTATTATTATAAGGTTACTGTCTAAATAAGGCTAACATCATATATCTTTTTAAGTGATTCCATTCATAAGGGTCTGGAAGGGGGGCTTATTTCTTCATTATTTAATTTCTTAGATCCTTATTCTCTATTCGTTAAAAAAATTTAGCACCCCATTATTCTCTATGCTTTATATTTCAGCAAACTATTATTCTATATATTCTATTTTTTTTTTTTTTTCACTTATTTCATTTTGTTCTTTATTTTGTCCACTTTATTCTGCACGTTTTGCCCATTATTCTCTATTCCGCACACCTCATCCAAAGTCTCTTCCATCAGGTGATTTCTTTTTCAATTAATATAGAAAAATAGGCATATTGTCTAATGTAATTTGGTGATAGTAACTAAAATTAAAGAATAGAAGATTACAGAAAAAAGCCAGCAAAAAAGTTCTTTAGACTTGGTTAAGTAAGTGCATTTAGTGAATTTGTGTCATGAAAACATGAAATTGATAATCTTTGTCCTTAATGTATTTTATAGGAAAAGTTCTCCACCTAAAATAGCTATCATTTCCTTCTAAAATTTAACAGTAAACCCTTGGACTCATTTGACATTTGTGTTTGAACTACTTATTACATTTTGTATTAATCAATGCTTTACAATTTTTATCAATGTTAAAGTTGATCAATAAATACTCAATTAACCTTAAAAATACTAGAATAAAATTATATCATGTTGCTTAATAATTCTTCCTTTTAGAATTATTTTGAATATTTCCAAAAATCACTTGAAGATATTAAACATAATGAAGGGGCTATTTAATATATACATTTGTGAAAATCATTTAAGTCATCTGCAATACCCATGACAGTAAGAAATTCACCCCTGTCATGCCTGTAGGCAATTGATAGTTTTAATGACATCTGTTTATTACCTATAGTAGGTTTATTCTAATTTCTGATTATTACAAATACAATGTTAACATCATGACAAGTTTGTATATACAAATTCTTGATCTGGATTATAACCTGTTCTCATTTCACATGTGCATGGTCATGAATTCATATTCAGTAAATATATTATATATTTTATACATGTATTGTATATATATAAAAATATTTGTGATGAACAAATTAACTTAAAATTGACATTTTATTTCAATAGGATACTTTCTAGATAACAATGAATATCAGGACAATTAAGTTTGTTTACACAGTTGTTTTAAATATGATGGTTCACAAAATACAAAATATAACTTAAAAATAGCTCTTTCACATTGTAAATCAAAGGCAAATATATATCATAAAACTTAATTATGACTTTTCCTGTACCCTTTTCTTTGGAGCTTTCTGTCATAAATTCTGGACATCACCGATAAGGAGATGTCATACCATTGCGAAACTATTAAGCGGAGACCAACCGACAGCTATTGTTTACTATCTATCGTTTAAAATCAACAGATTACTGTGCCATAACAGAATGTAGGACATAAAGTCACGGACAAAAAGTTATTGGACAAAAAGACACAATTCAGTTTTGAGATGATTTTTATTTGAAGAAGAAAACATTTATTTAAAAAAAAAATATTTTTGTATTTTTCTTGAACCATTAGATATAAAGTAACTTTGTAAACAAACTGTATTTTAAAATGAGCAATACTAATCAAATATTTGTTAAGAAAACAACTGGTCGAAGTGACTTGATACTTACATGGTTTCATGTTGCCAAGAAATATATCCTTTGCAATGTTAAAATTTGGTAAATATTCTTTGTCAAGGCTTCTGAACAATTTTCTAAATTGTGAAATGAATATATATAATAAAAAGAAATTATTTCAAGAACTCTCTCTTATATATGCAAACAATTATAAACAAATTGTTTGTGACGTTTTGTCCTGTGACTTTCTGTCCGCTAACCCGATAATCAACAATGAGCAGAACCCATATATATATATCATATATATAGTGAGAATAAAAGTCCCACCATGACAAATTATGAAATATTCAAAAGAGAAAACCAATGCCATAATCAATATATAAATAAAATGAATAAAGAGATGTGGTATGATTGCCACTGAGAAAACCCTACACCAGAGTTCAAATTACAAAGATATAAGCAACTATAGGTCCCCGTACAGCCCTCAACAATGAGAAACCCCATAATTTATAGCCAGCTATACAATGTCCCACATAAATAATGCGAACCAATGTGAATGAGAAAACTAGTGTCCTTATCTATAATACAATTTAGGAATAAAAATATGACAGCCATGAATCAAAACGCACAACTGAATAACAGGGGTTGTCTTTGTTAAAAAAATAACCTGAAAAATCACAGCGTGTTGAGCTGTGTGTTTTTTTTTTTCAAATTTAAAAAATTGCAGTTTTCTTCAAATGATGCAGTTTACTTCAATTGAAATTTTGGGTGAGAAAAAACCTGTTAATTTCCAAAAGTCAATTTGATAGGTTGACAGTTTAAAGCTACAATAATTCAGAGGTTCAAAGTCTCATATTCAAATAGAAAGTATATGTCAGAGTAATACAAAAAGACATCAACCTATATACATTTATCTTAATATATATATCATAATAAGTAATATTTTATCTCAGGTGCACTATGTAACTAGAGGCTCCAAAGAGCCTGTGTCAATTACCCGCATCTTCAATAATGACCCCCTTTTAATAAAAAAATCATCATTAAAGGTTAACAAATTTTTTTTAACTGACAATAGCAGTCATGTTGACATATTTGTAGATCTATTCCTGTTGATAATTTTCCTTTCTAAAGTTTCTATTTACAATGTACATGTATCTATTTATTTTTTAACTTTCGAGATAATAGCATGAATAGGGTTAACATTTTTAAAATGGTAAAATTAGTCTTTTTAGAGCAATAATTCCTACATGACTGACAGTTTGGACGTAAATGGACAATGGTTAGAGCTCAATATATTATTTCTGCTTAGTCAGAATTTCTCTATTTATAGTGGTTTTAAAAAAAAATAAGCAAAACTTGTATTTTACCCCTATGTTCTTTTTTATCCATGTCCGCATTCTTATTTGGCAAGTTGTGTCATTAGACACATATTTAAAACTAGATACCACAATAATGATTGTGGCCGAGTTTGGTTAAATTTGGCCCAATGGTTTCAGAGTAGAAGAATTTTGTAAATATTAACGAACGACGATGACGGACGAAGGACACAAGTGATGAGAAAAGCTCACTTAGCCTTTCAGCCAGGTAAGCTAAAAATGAATAGATGAGATATGATCTTTAATGTACGGAAGCGTATTAGGGCCATCCTTTTTTATCTTACTTTTTCAAGTTGTCGACGCTATTTTGGAATTATCAACTTTTATTTTAGAAATTCCAACTTTAATCTTCCGACCCTCAATAGTCCGACACTGAGTTTTTCCTACTTTCATTAATCGAGTGAATCTCTGAATTGAGAGCATCGTGACTTTTCGCTCATTGGACTCCCGCCTCTGCAAAACAGTGCACTCCTGTTTGCTATGCTTTACTTTACTTTTTGTTGGTGATAATGACTGTAAACATCGATGCACATCCGCTTATACAGCAATATAATGTACTGCATATATAATTACAAATGGATAATAAGTTTCATAACATTTGGTTGAGGCAAACTAAATTAAAAAAGTAAATATGACATATACAAGTCGTTTTGTCTTTTGCCTAGGGTACTAGTCATATGGCTTTATGTAGCAGAGGTCCAAGACATATAGGTGGTAGAAATTTCATTAGTTCTAAGTTTTGCCTTTAATTACTATTTGTTATCAATAGTTATAGTTCTGGTTCCATAATAAATGTTGTTGTGGTTCAAATGACACCAAACAATTAAATGGATATTTGCTCAGTTTAAAATATGATATGATTTAACATTGTGTTGTATTCACTAGCATGGTAAATATACAGGTTGATCTATATACTTAAAGTTGCGCAACTGTAATATTTTCACGCTATCACGTTAATGTAATGTCCGTTTATCCGAAATCCTCACAAATGTAATACTTCCAGAGTTCTCAAAATATGTTTTTCCATGCTGGTCTTTAAAGAAAATCTGCTGGTCCCAACTTTTATATCTTTTGAAAATTACCAAAATTGTGTAGGTCCTTAGCAAAAATTTGATGGTCAAAACCTTCGGACCACCACTTCTCAAGAACTTTGACGCCAGATTTAGACTCTTTAAGCAAATCAGAAAGAGAAATAATTAAGACATATCATTAGACATGACAACATAATGTCATTCAATAGCAAATTTTACATTTTTTTCCTACCACGTATCATCTTTAATTTTAGTTAAGCTGTATAGGAAAAACATATCTTTTCATGCAAAATTTTCATAACATAAGGGACTTCACGTATCAGAAGGAGATTTTTTGCATTAAAATAGATGACCTTCGTCGTGCATTTTCTAGTAAATTTCCTATGTTACAATGCTTATGGTATTACGTTGTCAATTGCTTTGATCGCAACCGGTGTTACTCATTCCAAAAAAAAAAAAGAACTTGAGATTGGTGTGTAAAGATAAAACTTTTAAAACTTCTTGACCCGACGTCTGATTGTGCAAATATAATGTTGACAAACCATTTAAAACTAATGTAATAGTTTTTTCCATATCAAACAATTTAAAATTTTATCCGTCCGATCTGGGACTATTACACTAATATATTAGTCCTAGGTCCGATACTGCTCTTTTGTCACTTGGTCACTGATAATGTTGCTACCGTTGAAATGTCCTTGAATATTTTGACGCTAAGGCTGAACTTCTTACTATTAATGCTTGACATGACCAGCTGCTCGTTTTAGATTAAACTATGTGGTTTAAGTGTAAATGTCGAAACACAGAGATTTCAATGAACAGCTACATAACCAAATCCCCCTTTTTATGAAAATGCTTGATCCGGTCGTCGGTATCAATAGTTAATGATCATTCAAGGAGTTATTTCACAAATCAAACAAACACTCTTGTATAGCTTAGGAATGTATGTATAAAATTGAGAATGGAAATGGGGAATATGTTAAAGAGACAACAACCCGACCCATATGTATACAAATCAAAACTGTCAAAATATCTTCAACTAATGTACTTACGTTACTTCAATCGGACACTGCAAAGATTTATCAAATGACAAATGGCGCGAAATCATAGCGTGGATATTTGTCGGAAGCTATTGGGACTATCCCCAATTCTAACCTTTACGAATGAGTTTCAATATCTGATTTTTGTGTAACATTTCAGTAAAAGATAATATTATTTTTTCATTTTGTTTGATATTTTATATTTTAACAGTCATTCTTTTTTTTTTTTTTAATTTATAAAAATGAAGCAAGAACGTGTATCAAGTCCATTTGCCTATTATGAATCTTTATATTTAATTGTTTATTTAATTATTCAGTAGTTTTTTTTTTCACTTCGTTTTCTCTGCTTATTAAAGGGAAGTAATTCTTATATTATTTCGATACACTGAACAGTACTGGACAAATATTCTATCGATGAACTGACAAGTACTAAAACGTACTAGACACTTTTGAATCAACTGTAAAGCGTTTTTTTTCTTAATAACCTGAACAAGTACTGACTAGTACTAAATCTCCTGCTACACAGGCCAGTGTACTGAATGTGTACTGAATAACTGAAAAAGATCTTGACATTTGTCTTTGGTGTAAATTCAGGTATTTAAAAGTTGTTCAGTTTAAATGACCGTTTTAGTAGTAAAAACGAGTGTCTTGGGTCAAATAGAAAGTAATTATTTTTCCTGATGTTTTACAAATGTAAACAAATGTTCGAATTTCTGAAAAAAAAAAAAAAAACAAACAAACAAACAAAAACAAAACTTTTTGGTTTCCATAGCAACCATCCCAGACCTCGAATCCCAAACATTTTGTTGTTAATTATTGACTACAAACATTGATACTTTATATTTTAACTACAATTTAAATGGAGGTGGATGTAAAACTGTATATGTTGTTTATGCAAAATGTGTATAATTTGCCTTCACAAATACAATGAAAAATGACCTCTGTTCTTGTGGTTGTGACAATTTTCAGTCAAAATATTTTTTTTTATATATAGGACATTGCTGTAATATTTGTTATGCATCTGTTTTTAAGAAAAAACATTAAAAAATATTAAAATAAAATCTGGTTTTGCTTCACAATGCCTGCAAATGAGTTGTTTTTTCAATGCTAAATTCCCCACAATGTACGGGAAAGCTCATCGACTTGGTTGCCATGACAGCCGTGGCCTTGCAATTCTTTGGGAGGCATTTTTCTTACTTTTGCACCTAATTATTTAGTTATACTAAGTTTCAGGAAAATCGATGACTATGCGTGCCGAACCCCTATATAAAATGGTTGGTGGTTACAGAGAATTGCTCTTAATATCAGAACATTATTTGAAAAATGCAGGTTGAATACTCTGTATACAGTATTTAAAATAGTGACTATGAGGAGGCTAATATTAATTAATCAGTTCGTGGTTTCGAAAAACATAATATCAATAGCAAATTTGCTTATAACATTTTTGTTCTGCAATCATTTGTCCTTCCATATTTTTCTCGAACGTAACAACATCGAATGAGATTTATATCTGAATTTTAAAGAGCACGAGCAACACGACGTGTGCCACCTATTGAGCAAGATCTGCTTTCCCAACCTTAGTACTTAAGATAGCCGTTTTTGTTTTGGTTCGTGTTAGGCAGCCTTTAGTTTTAAATGTTGTATTGTGCATACTGTTGTTTGTTTTTTCGTACTTTTTCGTTTATTGCCATGGCGTTTGAGTTTGTTGTCGACTTAATGAATATCCCTTTGTTATCTTCAGTTGTTTTTTTTTTTATGTGGCGTAATATATAAGTGCTGGAATATACAATGTACATTGCAACGATTAATTCACAAAAAAGACAACTTTGCAACACAGCACACATTTGGTTCAACTAAGCAAATGGCAACACATTATATTTTTTTTAAATAAATTTGTATTTCAATAGATGGATAGCACATAAATATACCTATACCCAAGCTGTTTACATGCAACACGTGCTTCCACAATATCAAAATGGTCTGAGCATACAGTTCCCCATTGATAATTGTAATACACCTCCAGACGTCCTTCACGAGGACTGTTACCTCCAACAAGACGAAGATCGCCTATTAAAGTTACTTTTTAAATTTATTAGTGAAAAAGAAAGGTATGACAATTCAAATTGTATATATTGATATATACTATTATATCTTTTTTTCACTTCATGAGTTGGCCTGCTTTTTTATTGCATTGAATGAATCATAACTAAAATACACTTTGACTTTCTTTGTTTATTTCTAAATGGTTTTGGTAAATTCTAAAGTTTTATATTTCTGGTTTTGTTTTGCTTTTCATTGTATTTTGTCTGCGTTTTTTTGCCTCGCTCATAATTGTTCTGGCATTAAAAGAAATTACAAACGATCATACGAACTTTATACAAGGTCAAAAAAAATGTGTTCCCTTTGAAAGGAAGTTTTCCCCTTATAAACGTTGGGAAAGTGATTTCTAAGAAAATGTAAGTTTTTAGAATAACAATAATCAGGAGTCTTCCTGACGTAGGATTTCTAAACTGTGAAAAAATGTAAATGCACTCCTTCTCTCAAAAGTTTAATTACATATGTGAAAATGTTTGAGCTTCAAAATAGGTCATAATACATATCTAAGTTTACAATAAGGATAGGCAAATGAAAAAAAGGCCTCCATTATCAGCTACCTGAAGTGTGTTGCGCGTGATGACCCATTTTCAACAGTAAAAATTATATTATCAAAATGCTAATGTTTAATGATTTGATTTACATTATTAAAATAACACTATGTTTGACCATCATGGTCATTCTCAAAACTGTTTTGTCACAACTCAAGTGGAATAATGAGGTCGTAGTCATCGATAATGACGATATTTTATTGTTCTTTTGACCGTTACTGTGATTGTTTATTTCCAGTTTTGTGTGATTTTCCTTGAACTCTAACTATCAATTTATCAATTTATCAATTTGACATTACTTCAACACCAATAAAAGGTTAAAAGACAACATGTACATAATAAATAAAAATTGTCAATTTATTGTTTTTTTGTTATATTTCAATATCTATATACGGACCTTTAAATATTTGATGACTACCATAACATCTAACGCCAACATCTTCACTGTGGCCACAGTTATTTACCCCCCATCCTATATTGCTACACATGTCTATACCAGCTTTTGTTTTAGTGCAGTTGACGTCATCTAACCATATCATTCCATCACCATTACCAGCGGTATAAAACTCAGCATTTGAACTTCTGTTGAAATATATTACATTATTTTTATTTGATTCCATTAATGATATTATATAACAGGTTTGCGATTTATTACCTAATTTGTAATTATAATCATTAGACATTTTTTGTTAACAAAGACACGAAGTAAATCAACACGACTTTGTTAAATAGAGTTTTGTTTAATTAGTTTTCAAGTTTATGTGATACTACCTCCGGAAGTAGCAACAGCAAAAATGGAAACGATGTGTTTGTATGTAAACACGAATCGAAAACCAATAGATCGGTGAAATTAGTTCAAATAAATGGTGGGAAAATTATGATTTACGACATTCTCATTTTCAGTGAAAGACAAAGCACTACGGTTTGGACAAACGAAGGCTTAATGTACTGCTAGAGATTACACTAATGTCTGCTTTACATGATATAGATGTTAAGCACGAAAGATATCAATTTTAGTATCACAACAAAATAAGTCTTTCATATTTTATGATGGTTGATGTCATTGCTGATGGTTATTTTGGCACCGATAGAATTGCACAACTGTGCATACATGAAATACAAATAAAATGGCAATTTTCGGAAAATTGAATGACCATCAAACTATAAAATCATTCGCACACTTAAATTATAGATGCTTTTTCACAAATGTTGCACAAAAATAAAAACAAAAACTTATAAACGTCATGCGTCCACAGCGCTTTTCTTTTCTGGGTTTACCTTTTCACAAGGAACGCTCAAAGCTGAATATTTGAGAGCCAAAAAAGTATAAGAACTAAAACAGGTCGTGAGCACTATGACCAAAAAGGATCTAGAAATACTAATCAAGTCAATTCCAGGTCAGCTCTGCCTAAGTGTCATGAAGACATCTTTCGATTTCAATGCTCTTCCACTTCTTGTTGATTGTTTTTTCCCAACAAATAGATTCGAGCACAACTTATAATCATTGTGTAGACAAAACACGAATCAGGCGTACTAAAGTATAATATTAGTATTTTTCCATTTTTTTTCTCAACAGAAAGAAATAGTGAATTCATTACTATAAAACGAATACGAAGAAATTTATTATAATGTTAAGTAGCATATACGCTCAACATACAAATAAGACGATGTGTTATGATTGCCAATGAGACAACTATCCAACAGAAACCAAATTACAAACATTTACGAAAGTGACTTTTTAATGATTCTTTCGTTCCTCTTTATGGTATAAGCAAGACAACAATCAGACAAAACTAATCATTAAACGATGTGCCTTAATTTAAAACGAACTACCTTAGTTTCAGTTGCCTGCATGCAACAATAGCGTTGTTTTTAGTAAAGCCATCGTCACAAATTGATCCCCATGAATTGCTGTGGTATATTTCCAATCGTCCATAATCTGTTCCACCAATTAATCTTAAATCACCTGATTTGTGTTAAGATAATCAAGAGTTTAAGGAAAAATGTGTTACTTATTTTGATTTTAGGTTTGTTCATTATAGAACATGTTGATTAATCCTTCATTGATATTGTTACCGCTCCATTTTTTGGAATTTATAAAGCTTTAACTTAAAGTATGTACTTAGGTGAGGTTTAGGAATTTTTGTCAATTATTCGGACTCCTTTGTTTTTTTCCTACGATACAGGGTAAAATATTTTGACCCATTTTTCTGTTCATATAAGACTTCAATAGCTCTTAAAAGGTCATTTACCAAAATTTAAGCAGATCCTAGATTTTTTTTCCTTCAATTTGAGACCCAAATGATACTAATGCAAATATAAGGTTAAAGTCCGAGTCAGCCTTTTCCCGCCATTTATTAAAAATTAAATATTTCGAAAAGGAGCTCAATAACCTATCAATATTTTAGATTATTTTGTCCTTAACTAATGCTCTTCTGACTTATAGTATCAATTTTAAATTCTGGATTTTTTAAATTTCACCTAAGTACATCCTTAAGTGGATACCTTGATCATTTTGTTTCAAAAGTAGAACACAAAACTGATTAAATAGTTAAACAAATGTTTTTTTAAATGCTAAGGTGTTATAAGGATAACTCTAACTCACAACAGATCAGTTATGTCGTTTACTGAGTACACGAATGTCTACCTAAATAAGTTATGCCTTTTTACCTTCAGATGCGTCAAAACACCAGATTCCAACATCTTCAGTGTGTCCACAGTTGTGAGTTCCCCAACCCCTATTACCACAACTACTCAATTTTGTTTCGTGTCCACTGCAGCTTATGTCATCAAGCCAAATGTGTCCCATTCCGTCACCTGATGTGTAGAACTGAACATTTGTCCAGGAACTATAAAGAATAAATAGAAGTCAATCGAATATAGTATTTCTTACAAATATATCAATGCTAGTTTAGTTGAAAGTGACTGTTTATCAAAGTACATTTTTGTATGTTTTAATTCTTTAAAAAGTGATATTTCAAATTATATTTTAAAGATGATCTTTGTTAGAAGAATATGGTTTTGATTTTGTTGTATATTTTTATAAATAAGAAATTCTGTCTGCACAATAATTTGTTTCTAACTCTTAATGAATAGTCTTCACGACGGCAATAGTTATTATTACCTTGAACCTAGCTGTTTGCACACGACAATTGCATCGTTGTAACCAAACGAATCATCACAGACGGTTCCCCATATACCATTGTGAAAAATTTCAAGTCTTCCCTGAAGCTGGCAGGCACCTCCAACTAAACGTATTTCCCCTACCAATACACATTACCCAATAAAACTTGACACGTTGAAAATTTTAACTGAATACATACATTTTTTTCTTTCAATATGTGTTCTATTGTAAACCATAATCGACCAAAAAAAGGCAGTTATCAGTTCATACATTTGTTGGTCTTAATACAGTATTTGATATATAAATGAATTGTATATGCAATCCGATTGAACATTCTGGGGGTAAATGTTCATAATCCGTCCTAATCTTTTCTAACATAATGTCATCGAATGCGAAATATCACAAGATATTTACTTATAAAAAAGAGAAGATGTGGTATGATTGCAATGAGACAACTATCCACCAAAGTTCAAATGAAGTGGATGTAAGCAATTATAGGCAACTGCATGGCCTTCAACAATGAAAAAAACCCATACGGTGTAGTCGGCTACAAAAGGTCCCGACATGATCAATATGAAACATTTCAATCGACTAGTGCCGCTTTTAGGGTAAGAAAGGCAAGTCGTTGTATATTTCATGTACATTGTTTTACCACCGAATTGTGGAAGCGTTCAGTCATTAATTTACTGTGACTAACATGGTACTGCCTTTCTTTCTTCGGTTTGTGGTTTTTTATTGGTAGGTGGTATCTTCTTAATTTATATCACGTATCAAATATAATATGTTTTTCCCGTCCAATTGCCCAAAACTTGTAATTCCCTTACGAACGTTTGATAACGTAAACATTGCAAGTGGTTTAATATAAAATATTGCGTAGATCAGTTACTTATATATGATTATCTAACGTTAATCAATCGACAATAACACTAAATCTCTTTTAATAATAGTCGCAAAAATTGTAATCCATTTTAAAAAGACAAACCTTCACGACTGGTTCTGGAAAGACTAGTCAGAAAAAACGAAAGGAAACAAAATATCTTTATCCGTGTGACTACATGCAGATGAAAAATTTGGTTCAGATCCATTTCCTGATGAAAATAGGAAGTAAAAATATAAGCTAACATCAACGTTTCTTCCAAAAAAACCACCCACAAAAAAAAAACAAAAACAAAACGGACGAACAAGCATAGAAAAATAACAACAAACACATCATGGTCCAGATCGGTGACCAAGTACATGTATAAATCAGGTGGTGTTAATAGTATATTTACGTAATTATATTGTATTTTAACAGATTTTATAAAAAAAAAATGCATATCTTTATAACCCTAAAATATGTTTACTATTATCTCAGCGTATGCGGCATGGATTGAGATATCATTTATAAAATGTATATCATCTTTTTGATGACTAGTATTAACGGTCTATAAATTATTATACAGCCAGTAGAACTTTCGAAGAGACGACAGTAACACAATAACTAAATTGCTTCCTAGTAAAAAAGAATTCGAAAATTAAAATTATTTCATTTGTCCTAAGATGAAGTTCACAAACAATAACCATCTTCGATTTCTAGACGTTAACCATGACATGAAGCACACTTAACTGTATATTTGATATAATTTATTTCAAATTCATTAAAATAAATCATCTATACAGCGAAACGTGAATGTATATCATTCTTCTTTAGAAATCCCGGAATAATGCCTACGCCGAATGAGTTAATGAACATGTCGGCTATCACGGGAAAACAGTTTTCCCAGATGGAAATGTGCACAAGCTGAACGTATTTCATTTGGTTAAGACTAAACTGATTCATTCATTTTTGATTCGAAATTTTGAGGACACGTTCTCATCGAATTTCTATAGAATAATGGGTTTCTTTTTTCATGGAAATTTGTATGTATAATCTGGAAGTAATTGCAGGGGACGTTGCTTAGGGTAATAAGAATAATGTACTTAGAATAATTCTATATTGAATACAGTGAAATAAGACACTTTAAAATAAAAACAAATTTTCTTGAGAACAATTGAAATATAAGTCATTTGATGGGTCATTAAGAAAAAAAATATAAGACGCTAAAACTTAAAACTGAAAATTTTGGAAATTGTTGAAAGAAGCTAATGATTATACCCATACTCACCTGCTAACATCAATACATCTAGCAACGATAATTTTCAACCCACAAATTTAATGAAACATTTCCAATTTCAGAATGACTGGTAATAATCTGAAAATAAAACACATAACAATAACATAATTAAAACTTTTAACTAAAGTTGGTAAATCATGTGATCCTGAAATAACAAATAGTGTTAAGTTCTAGTCCGATAGTGAAATCTTTATACTCTATTATTAAACAGTCTATGGAACTGAGGACAATCGACAACAGTTTTAATTTATTTTAACTAATGAAATAAAACATAAAACGTATTGTATACCAACATAAGAAATATATCCATACACCAGGCATAATTTTCTATTAACATGATAAAGTGATGATCAGTTTTATATATACAGCAAAATCAAACTTTAGAATGCGATACTAAGCGCCCTGACGAGCAACGTCAACACATGAATAGATCAAAGCATGACTGTATTACAATGCAATGCCTTAAAAAGAATGTATTGGTTATAGATAGTTTGGCATATGCTTTTTATATTCCTTCTATTTTCTGACTAAAGATCGTATATAATATTGTGCATGTAATTGATAAAAAATTCTGCTATCAGAAAACTGCTAAATGTTTATACATATAAAGGTCAAATAATTCATCAGTAGTAATCGCTTTAAAATTTTACCTTTACAGCAGGTAAAGGAGGGGGTATGAAAAGGGCAGATGCCACATGTGGAACAGGACCTTCTTACCCTTCAGGAGCACCTGAGATCACCCCAGTTTTTGGTAGGCTTCGTGTTGCTCAGTCTTTATTTTTCTATGTTGTGTTTTGTTTACTATTAATATGAAAATAAGGAGATAAGGGATGATTGCCAATGAGACAACTATCCACCAACGTTCAAGTAAAGTGGATGTTAGCAATTAAAGGCAACCGTTCGGCCTTCAACAATGAAAAAAAAACCTATACCGTATAGTCGGCTATAAAAGGCCCATGAAACAATTCAATTGAGCAAACTAACGACCTAATTTATAACAAAAAAATTAACGAAAACAAATATGACAGACATGATTCAACGACAACCACTGAACTACAAGCTCCTGATTTGGGACAGGCACATAAAGAATGTGGTGGGGATAAACATGTTTGTGAGCGCTCAAACCTCCCCCTAACCTAGGATAGTGATGTAACAGCACAACATAAGAACAAACTATAAAAATCAGTTGTTTGTCTTTTTCTTTTTTAGCCATGGCGTTGTCAGTTTATTTTCGACTTATGAGTTTGAATGTCTTTTTGGTACCTTTCAACTCTCTTTTAAAACCTTGGAAGCCATCTCAAGTTGGTTGACCGTTATGGAATATCTGTTTCACAGATGACGACGGATATGTTCAAACTTTCGTAACCACAATCCCGTCCTCCTTTTCTCAAAAGTGACCTACCGAATTTTAACACAGGGTTTGTATTTAAATGAACAACACAACGGTTGCCAAATGTGGAGCAGGATCTGCTTACTCTTTTCGAATATCCGAGAGATCATCATCAGTATTTTTGTGGTGTTCATGTTGCTTTGTCAATTCGTCGTTTTTTTTGGCCATGGCATTGTCAGTTTTGCTTCGCAAATTTTTTAAATCGAAAATCAAGAAAGTATAACAAATCTACGAATCAAAATACTCCATATATTCAAAAGACATCAGTATAAGTATATGCATGTGAAATGTTTCTTACATATTTACATTTGGGCCATTGACTTCTTCATTTCAGTGCAAAACTGTAAAAATTGCAACAATACTTTCATGTTAAGATCTTGTCATAAATATTTGAATATGAACCAAAGCTTTCCACATAACTAAACCAGAAAAAGACAAGATAGTAGAGCGTTTCATATCGTCATACAAAAGCAGTGATAAGGTAATTTGATGACAGAAAAATAGACACCATCAACATGATCAAGGTTTTATTCCACATCCATATTTATGAAACATCTTATGAAAGTGTTACTGCCTCTGGAAAATTTGAGATAATGACACTATTTCTGTTTTATCAAAACCTATTGCTCTTTGAAGAAGAAGGAAAAAGATAAAATAATTATTTATTACTTTTATGTAATCAGATGTAGACGTCTAATACATTTAATGCATGTTTTGTTTTATTGAAAACATATTTCATCTTTAGAATTGGTATCTACTGTTGTCTTTGCAGAAGCAGTTTGTGAATCATTATAAATCATTGAATACAGTGGGACAAAGTTGCAATAATTTGATTTATCCATATACATGATATATTATAACAAGTGCCTTGCTGCTGCATATACTTGGGATAGGTGGGACTACTAACAATCATATCGAGTTTTCCTCTGTACAGACTAAACATAGCGAGTCATGTCAACATTGGTTGTAAATGGCAAACGATAAACTGTCTTCACTAACAGATAATTGAGTAGAGTTGTACATCGGTATTACATTTTTAGATATAACAGGTTGACTTTTGTTAACACATTTACGGCGAAACTTTAATTGATTGAAATATCTTCCATGGACAGATAATGCTATCCGTTTAGAAGTTTATATTTTATTAACATAATTGATGTTCATTTTGATTCGGTTCATCCTTGAAAGGTTGATTCGTATCATATCGTAACATAAACTGAATGCATGGAAAAATTGAACACTACGGATATGAGAAGACGTTTTGCACGGGATCTTTAAGGTGCAGAGAGCGTGCCATTTTCCAAAATACGAGACATCACACGTTACATTTCCATCCAATACAATGGTCATATTCAGCACAAGCATATAGAAACACACATTACCATAGTCTTACTTTGAGCATAAGAAGACCCCGATGACCTTTTTTTAATAACCCAATCAAAGTTTATATTTAACAAAAATGTTAGTATAAAGTTGTGTTTTCCCAATTTTTTTTTTTTTTTTTCTTTGAAAAATTATAAAATGTGATGTTTTATTTATTGTATAGTATTTGGAAAGACACCCAATAACTAGTTTATAGCAATGAAGTAAACGAATTGCTAGTCGCTCTCACTCAGTTATTGAAATATAGTTGAATCTGTTTCCGGTCAAAAACATTTTTTTTAAACAACGTCGGATGATTAAGAGGAAGGTGTGCTTATGTAAATAGATTTTATTTGCACAAGACATTGATGTCACATTTCACTGTTAGGAGACAAGACATATATAATAATTGTGGCAGGTGCCATCGAGAAAAACGTGGATACAGTTTATGTTATTTGCTTCATATATTTAGACATAAATGGAATTGTTGTATTAAACTGAGGCAAATATAACGCTAGCAATTTCAAAGTTACTTCTGTTTTTTTTTTTCTTTTTTTTTCTGAACATTCAACTGAACTAAACCCATCTCCTAATGTATATAGGCCTTCCTGTGAATGCTAGGAACAGAAAAGGAGGTACTAAATGACCAAAATGTACAGTTTACGTTTGTTGTTTATGAATGATCTAATTATCCATGTATCTACAGTACTAGAAGATTCCATCTTTGAAATATTCAACATTGAATATGTGGTTCCTCCCTCGAATCCTTGCGGTTTTATAACAGTAGCCGTGGACAATATTGACAACAATCATTATATTCGGCATCTTCGAAGTCTAACTTGGCAAATTCGTCATAATCGTATGCTTTGAAATATATGCATTTCCCTTATAATCTCTGGTTCTTTCACCTATATATTATGCGCCAGCACAATTGTTCGTATTATTGCTCTAATCTAGTATATATTATAAAAATACTACTATCGAATAAGATACAGTGTATATCCTTAATACTAACCAAATATAACCATGCGTTTCATGCTCACATCTTATAATTACCGTGTTATGGACATGCACTCTGTCAATCGTCTAACCAGAAATACATGTATGCCAACCTGGTACAATTAGTCAATTGTTCAACTCTATCATTACATGGTATAAATAAGTTACCAAAAGATAACATAGATGGTTTGAAGCAGATGATAATGAAACATTAAATATGTCTGGACATCAGTCCACGAATGTAGAGCCAAAATAAATGGTCATCCGCCTTTTTATATCAGTCCCCATTGATCAATGTTCAGTTAAATTCTATCACAACGATTCGACATTCCATGAATACTATTCAGCAATGTGTTATTTTTTTCCGAGACATGTATCAATTATCACTTGTGGAACTGGGCAAACATATTTCTAGCAGAACAAAAAATGTTTTTGTTTTAGGTCTTCAAATATTAATTTAATCGTTGAGAATCTTATGTGATTGGTTACAAAACAGTGGTTGAACAAGTGTTCAATCAAGGAAACATAGTACTTCATGAACAGCAGATTCTATTTTAGAGGCTTTCATGCATCATGAACAAGACACCTCCATGAGGTTACAGTCGGTGTACTTTTCATTCTTATGCAAAGATCCTGACATATTTTTTTACTGATGAACGAGACCTTGATGAGAACTGTGTAACATTCAAAGAATGGAGTAACGAGAGGGAAATTTAGAGTCCAATTAACTACAACTGGTCTGTAACGTTAAAGATTGAACTGGACAAGTTGATGTGATATCATTAAAAGAATGCTCAATCTGGGTGCATAAAGATTTCCTTATACTGCTTGTTCATTGATTCGTTGCATTTTTCCTTCCAAATTACAGCTTCCAGTACCCGTGCACTGTACAGTTTAAGTGTTGCAAACGTAATTTGAAAATAGAAATGTAGATTAATCCCATACGTAGAATTACAGGCTTGTAAAAGGAGAAGGTAGGGCAATCAGATTGACAAAAATATCGCACAACTACAGCATTGAATGGTGCTTTGTCTAGAAATGGCCATAGTAATAATAAAACAAGTTTCAATTCACCATTAAAAAAATTTAACGCGATCAGGTACACGACACGATATTCTACATCAAGAATATTTAAAAAGCAAACACACAACATTCTCAAAGCATGTGAAAGCTTAACATGCTTAAGGCGGAGAATGTTTCGCCCTTTTACCTAGAGTGCTACGTCGAGTGACTGTGGATGCATATGCCATATGGACATTTATCACAAAGGTATCAGCATTTTGTAATGAGCTAAAAAGATGTGGTTGACAGATATAAAACGAAT